CTAGTACTTGTAATTTCCTGCTTTGCTTCCCAGATAGGGGGCACATCAAGTCAAAACTATTTTTGTAATAATACACAGTCATAGCTTGCCTTTCTCACTGTGCTGACATTTTTGCTCATGGTACAAAAGCAGTGGTGAATAAAATTTTTGGAACCTTAACATGAATCAAGGCACCAAACTGCCAGTAGACATTATATTATTCACTGCCATGTCCTTGCAGTTTTAATTTTTAAAGCCATTTTTCTTAATGTCTTTGATGAAGTTGTAGAAATGATTAATTTTATTGTCTTAATCTCAAGTACATATCTTTTTTATATTTTTTGACATAATATGGAATATGCATGATGCTCTGCATACTGAAGGGAAAATAAGAGAAAACAGCTCTGCAGTTTTTTGAGTTGTAAGCCACTTGCTTTTGTCATGGCACCCCATTTTTACTTGGGAAAAACAAAGCCAGTTTACAGACAAACTATGGTTATTCCAATTTGGATATTTGGCACACATTTTCTGGAAATTGAATGAAGTGAGCCTGTGACTTCAAGGAAAACAATTGATAGTATTGCCAGTGGGAAAAAAACATCAAACTTTGAAATGAAAATTAGTATTTGGAAAAAGTTTGATAGTTTCCCGATATTTAAAGACTGTACTAGTCAGATTGGTGATATTACCAAATGTGAATTTTTTTTATTTTGTATAATAAAATGAGTTAACATTTAGAAGATCTGTGTAACTTGGTCAACCAATAATTTTCAGATGATCAAAAATCATGTATCATCCCTAACCTGTTTGGCTCAGTGGATAGAGCGTCAGCCTGCGGACTGAGGGTCCCGGGTTCGATTCCGGTCAAGGATATGTACCTTGGTTGCAGGCACATCCCCAGTAGGGGGTGTGCAGGAGGCAGCTGATGGATGTTTCTCTCTCATCGATGTTTCTAACTCTCTATCCCTCTCCCTCCCTCTCTGTAAAAAATCAATAAAATATATTTAAAAATAAAAAATTTTAAAAAAATCATGTATCAGTAAAAGATCTATTCATTCATTTTTTTTGTTTGTTTTGAAAAATGTGATTATTTTTTCAGAAAATTTATATAAACATAATGGGTTTATTGTCCTTTTAAAATTAAATAAAAATGTAAAAACATTAAATTTTAATTTCTAATATGGTAAAAATTGATAGATTTATATTTTTAAAAGATTTTTGGCATCTTCAGTAATTCTTGAGTATAAAAGGGTCTAGAAAAAAAAGGGTCTAGCGACCAAAATGTTTTAAAACAGTTAGTGTAGTAAAAGGAATAAGGATCTTAGAGTCATGACTCCCACAATTTCTAGATACGTAATTTTAGAAAATTACTTAACTGTTATTAGCTTTATTTTTCTTACCTGTGAAATAATATTTGTCTTACAGGGTATGGAGCAAATTAAATAAGATAAGGTATATAAAGTATATAGCATTGTATTGGGCACATATAATAGGTGAGCCAGAAATGCTAGCCATTTGGTTAATAATTTGCATACTTTCATACTATAATAGTCTTAATGTTACTGGAGTGTTTTACTCATTTGATAAAACAGTTCAATTTTGTTTACCAAGTTAGAACCAAGGAATCCAATTTCAGATTTAAAACTTCATTGTGCAAACTTCACAGAGAAGGTTATTTTAAGTTTTGATTTTCTTTGTGTAACTAGCTTAAGCAGCAGATAGAGGACTTAAAACTGAGGGGATAATAAATGAAGGTGACTAGAACATTTGAGCCCTTATTTCATGATACACTTGGTCAGTAAAGTAAATGCGGTGTTGGTTGGCTTGGTGAAGATGATGATGTTGATGATCATTCGCATTTAAAATATTGAATCACAGCATGATATTTGGCTTCCTTAATTGTAGTATGTATTTCTGATTATGTTCTTAACTGTAAATTGAGAGAGATTAGATTATTGAACTCAGTCATTTCTAGTTCATGAATATTTTGGAAATGTGATTGATTTGGATTTGAAATGAGAAGTTTCATTTGTAACTTAAGTAGATACTTATGCTTTAACTTTACATCTAGATGTTCTTGGATGGGTTAAGAAAACAGAGTAATTATCTAGGTACATCTTTAGCTACCCAGTTACCCTCCTGGGCAGTAACCAGTGTTATTTTCTTATTTTCTTTTTCAGTTACCATTTAGAGCATGTTATTTATTTATTTATTTATTTATTTATTTATTTATTTATTTTTCCTTTAAGATAGAGAATGAAGAAAGGTAACTGTTACTGCCTTTTCTATAGGTAGGACAAAAATGAATATTCAGAAATTTACATATTTGATCTCTAGACTTCTTGGAGTTCCAGATTTTGTAATTTTTCTACTTGGGAATCTCATAGATATATTAAAATATACTTGTCCAAAATGGAGTTATCATTTTCCATCTCACACCTAGCCAATCAGTGTTTTAGTAAATCACATTAACTATCCAATTGCTTAAACTTTGGTCATTGGGATTATTCTTTTTCTCACCCCATTCTCCTACCCATACACATCAATCAACAAGCTATTTTAAATCAGTCTACTTTCTGTCTCCATTGCCACCACTTGAAACCAACCAATTTGTATTATCTTTTCCCTAGAATACTGCACCAGAGTCATAACTAGTTTCCCTATGCCTCTCCTCTGTTCCATTCTCTATATGGTAACAAGTATAATCTTAAAATTTATTTGTATCAGGTCATGTCCATGCTCAAGATCCTTTAATGTCTTTTCCACTTAAAAGTACATTCATATTTCTTATCATTGTTACAGAGCTCTGCATGGATTTGGCCGTTGCCTACTTCTCTGATATTATCTTGTACAAAAATCTTTTTTTTTCTATGTTCTGGCCTTGTCTTCTTTCAGTTCCTTGAATATTCCAGGTTACTTTGGCCTCTGTCTGGAATGCTTTTCTTTTCATTCTTTGATTTCTTAGTTCCTACATATCTTTTAGATCTCATTTAATTGATTTTTAGATAGGAAAGGAGAGGGGGAGAGAGAGAGAAACTTTGATGAGAGAGTAAAACATCAATTAGCTGCCTCCTGCATGCCCCTTACTATGGATCAAGCCTGAAACCTGGGCATGTGGCCTGACTTAGGCCACAGGATACTTTTTCATTGGACTTGTTTTCATTCTTACTCATATAAATATTTCTAACATTATGACATAGCATTTTGAAAAGATCGCTAGCTCACTCTAAAGGGTATGACATCTTGGGGGGATTGACGTTTGTCTTTGGAAAATAGCTTATACCAGTGACTTTTGGTAGTCATGTCTGTTCTGGGACATGCTTCAGTGTTTGATTATTAACAATTATATCATAGTGGTTTTCCTATTCAACTACGTTAAGTTCTGAGGTGTGAAAACTGGGGAGTATATTTCCTAGTCACTAATTGAAGTTTGTACTTCAAATTTTTATTTCTGAAAACCATAATGTGAATTATATTCCAAAGTCTGCCATTAAAAAAATTTTTTTTTTGGTTTCTAATGACTAAGACGAAGATATTTACTGTAACGCAGCTTGTTTTTTTGGTAAAATTTCTTATAAATACAATTTAAATTTAGTGAATTTATTTGTGCCTTGTAAATTTTACATAAAATACAGTCATGCTCTCTTTGCCATTTTTTTCTGGCTTTATTGAGCAAAAGGGGTGTGTGTGTGTTGGCAGGTTTTGGCAGGTTTTGTTTAGCTATGAGATTGGGATAGATCACATGCAGATTTTTTAGAAAATCAAGTTTTTTTAATCCTGTATATGATTTCTTCAATCATGTGTAGTTCATTTTATTGGAAAAAATTGTTCATGTAGCAACTTCTGTAAAAATGCTAATATCTGAAAATTAATACACATAAACTTTAATTAGTAACTTTATTTTAAAATGTTACTATAGCTTTGATTTCTTCTATAATCAAGAATTTTTGAGGCTGTATGGTTTGGGAAATCATTTTGAAATTAAATTAGTCATTCTGTAACATCAACTATAAGATATAGTCCGAACTCTAGAACATAGCCTGCAGGTTCTCAAAAAGGTTTGTCTTTTGCAAATAGTTCCGATTTCATTATTTGCTATTCTTTTACAAGCTCTTGACTCACACCAATTAAAACCTTTTTTGTGTATTTCCCAAAAACTGTTCTTGCATTTGAATGGAAGACTAGGCAGTGTTGCTTTTTTTTCCTACAAATTTCTAACCTATTCTTCAAGACTTTTTTTTCACTGTGGTCTATCTTTAATATTTAAGTCTCTCTGCACAGGCAAAATTAGGTGCTCTGCCCTGTGTTCCATTATCATGCTACACTCCCTTCTATTCTACTAAATAATATAACAATGATTTATTTTCATATTAGTCTCTAACAGAATTTTGGCAACTTGAGGATGGGATTGGATCTTATTGATACTTATCTCCAAGCATGAGTTTATAGTAAGTGTTTAAGTTTGCTGAATGAGAAAGAATAATATGACAGATAAATTAGCAGCAAAAGAAGCTCTAAATCTATTTAGAGAAGAAATCCCTAAAGCAAAATGGGTATCTTTTGGAGAGAGATGGGGGTGGGTTGGCAGGGGTAAGAGGAGTTGGCTGTATTATGTTTGGAAACCTTAGCATCTTCTGACTTTGAATTTGCCATATAAACAGGATCATTTGCAATCACATTTACTTTGCTTTAAATCTATCAGTGAAATTTGTGAAGGAGATGAAACTACTTTTAAATACACACTTTCTTATCCTATATAATAAAGATGTAATATGCAAATGGTTGTTACATAATGACCAACCACATAGCGACTGGATCACAGATCAGCAGAGGGTGGGGAAGCGGGCTACAAGTGGGCGGTGGAGAGCTACAGGAGGGGGCAGGGCAGCAAGCTATGAGTGGGGGGTGGGAGGAGGGGCAGTGGGGGAGCTACAGGAGGGGGGCAGCGAGCTACTGGCACATGGATTCGTGCAAGGGCTGCTAGTGTTTTTATACTAATTTAACTTTTTATTTTATTTTAGGAAACACTCCTTTACATCTTGCTGTGATGTTAGGAAATAAAGGTTAGTAAATACTTTCTTTTTTTATGTTTAACTTCACTAATGTATAGTCAGCTTTAATTTTTCCCTGTGAATTTTGTCTTTTCAGATTTTACAAATTAGCCTGATTATTTTATTTGCTAATTGAGCTTAGGATTCAGTATATGAAAAATAAATATTTTCTCATAGTGGAAATCTTTTTTTTTTTTTAAATCTTTTTTTGTTATATGCAGTGGGGCCTTGACTTACGAGTTTAATTCATTCCATGACGGAGCTCGTAACTCAAATTACTCGTATGTCAAATCAACAGTGAACGAGTGAGACATGTGATGCTGGGCTGATGTTGTGGCATTCACTGTGACGTTCGCTGCACAAACTAGCAGTGGGGTATCTGAAGCTGGCTCGTAACCCGAATTTTAGCTCGCAACTCAAAGCAAAAAATCGGCCGAGAGACGGCTCATATCTCAAAAAACTCGTTAGTCGGGACACTCGTAAGTCAAGGCCCCACTGTATATCTTTATTGATTTCAGAGAGGAAGGGAGAGGGAGAAAGGTAGAAACATCAATGATGAGAGAGAATCATTGATCGGCTGCCTCCTGGGGATCAAGCCCACAATCCAGGCATGTGCCCTTAACCGGAATTGAACCCGGGACCCTTTAGCCCCCAGATCGATGCTGTATCCACTGAGCCAAACCAGCTAGGGCTCATAGTGGAAATCTTATATTAACCTTTATGCTTTGTGAAATTATGGGTTTTTTTTTTCCCTTACTTGGTTATTTTGTCAAGCAAGTATTTATTTATAATTTTAGGAGACTCTTATTTTCATATATTAAGGTTTATTCATTATTGTAATACTTTTAATATTCAAAGAGTTTTATAATCTTTAATGTGAACTTTTATGTATTAAAAACTCAAGTCTAGTCTTTTGTATATGATTGTAAACATTTAATACTTGTTTATTCTTTAATTAAGAAAACAACTTGTAGACAGGTGATTTAAAAGATCTGCTTTATAAGGCTATTCCTAGATGCCATAAAATCTTAGTTATCTGGATTCCCAATAATTCTGAAAAGTGAGGATTCCAGATAGCTAATTGGCAACCTTTTTTAAAAAATATGTTTTTATTGATTTTAGAGAGAGGAAGGGAGAGGGAGAGAGAGATAGAAACAGAGAGAAACATTCGTTGGCGCCTCCAGGATCGAGCCTGCAACCGGGCATGTGCTCTGACGAGGAATTGAACTGGGGACCTTTTGGTTCATGGGTCAATGCTCAACCACTGAGCCATACCGGGGAGATGATTGGCAACCTTTTGAGTGCTAGAATTTAAAATTTTACATGTGTTTGCTAAAAAAATTTTTAAAACATATACTCTTTCTTTTTTTAAACAGGCTTATTAATTTTAAGACTTTTTTTTTTTAAGACTTTTTTTCTTTTTTTTTTTTTTTTTTTCAGAGTGGAAACCAGAAGTTGACATTTTATTTATTTATTTTTTTATATTTATTTATTTTTTAATTCTTTTTTTTTTTATTATTATTAGTTAAGGTATTACAAATGTGTCCTCATCCCCCCCATTAACCCCCAGCCTCCCCCCCACACACAAACTCATGCTCCCATCCCCCCGTTGTCCATGTCCATTGGTTTGGCTTATATACATGTATACAAGTCTTTCGGTTGATCTCTTCCCCTTACCCCCGCCCTCCCCTACTTTCCTTCTGGGGATTGATAGCCTGATTGCTGTTTCTCATTCTTTGGGTCTGTCCCTTTTCATCAGTCTATGTTGTTCTCTATAATCCACAAATGAGTGAGATCATGTGGTATTTATCTTTCTCTGACTGGCTTATTTCACTTAGCATAATGCTCTCCAGTTCCATCCATGCTGTTGCAAAAGGCAAGAGTTCCTTTTTTTTTACCGCAGCATAGTATTCCATTGTGTATATGTACCACAGTTTTCTAATCCACTCATCTGCTGATGGGCACTTAGGCTGTTTCCAAATCTTAGCTATGGTGAATTGTGCTGCTATGAACATAGGGGTGCATATATCCTTTCTGATTGGCGTTTCTGGTTTCTTGGGATATATTCCTAGTAGTGGGATCACTGGGTCAAATGGGAGTTCCATTTTTAGTCTTCTGAGGTAGCTCCATACTGTTCTCCACAGTGGCTGCACCAGTCTGCATTCCCACCAGCAGTGCAGAAGGGTTCCTTTTTCTCCACATCCTCTCCAACACTTGTTGTTTGTTGATTTGTTGATGATAGCCATTCTGACAGGTGTGAGATGATAACGCATTGTCGTTTTGATTTGCATCTCTCGTATAATTAGTGACTTTGAGCAGGTTTTCATATGTCTTTCGGCCTTCTGTATGTCCTCTTTCGAAAAGTGTCTATCTAGGTCCGTTGCCCATTTTTTTATTGGATTGTTTATCTTCCTTTTGTTAAGTTTCATGAGATCCCTGTAAATGTTGGAAATTAAACCCTTATCGGTGGTATCATTGGCAAATATGTTCTCCCATGTAGTGGGTCTTCTTGTTGTTTTGTTGATGGTTTCCTTTGCTGTGCAAAAGCTTTTTATTTTGATGTAGTCCCATTTGTTTATTTTCTCTTTAGTTTCCATTGCCCTAGGAGCATTATCAGAGAAGAAATTCCTTCGGCATATGTTTGCGATTTCGCTGCCTGTGGATTCCTCTAGTATTTTTATGGTTTCCCGTCTTACGTTTAAGTCTATTATCCATTTTGAGTTTATTTTTGTGTATGGTGTGAGTTGGTGATCTAGTTTCATCCTTTTGCATGTACCTGTCCAATTTTCCCAACACCATTTATTGAAAAGACTGTCTTGACTCCATTGTATGCTCTTGCCTCCTTTGTCGAATATTAATTGGGCATAGTGGTTTGGGTTGATTTCTGGGGTCTCTATTCTATTCCATTGATCTATATGTCTGTTCTTGTGCCAGTACCAAGCTGTTTTAAGAACAGTGGCTTTGTAATACAGTTTGATATCTGGTATTGAGATCCCACCTACTTTGTTCTTTCTCAGGATTGCTGCAGCTATTCGGGGTCTTTTTTTATTCCAGATGAATTTTTGGAACGTTTGTTCTAGATTTGTGAAATATGCTGTTGGTAATTTAATGGGGATTGCATTGAATCTATAAATTGCTTTGGGTAGTATGGACATTTTGATGATGTTGATTCTACCAATCCATGAACACGGTATATTCTTCCATCTGTTTATGTCTTCCTCTATCTCTTTTTTCAGTGTCCTGTAGTTTTCAGCATATAAGTCTTTTACCTCCTTAGTTAAGTTTATTCCTAGGTATTTTAATTTTTTTGGTGCAATGGTAAATGGGATTGCTTCTGTAGTTTCACTTTCTGTAAGTTCACTATTGGTGTAAAGAAATGCCATGGATTTCTTAGCATTAATTTTGTATCCTGCTACATTGCCGAATTCATTTATTAAGTCTAATAATTTTTTGATGGAGTCTTTAGGGTTCTGTATGTACAGTATCATGTCATCTGCAAATAAGGACAGTTTTACTTCTTTTCCAATCTGGATGCCTTTTATTTCTTCTTCGTGTCTGATCGCAATGGCTAGTACTTCCAGTACTATGTTGAACAGGAGTGGTGAGAGGGGGCATCCCTGTCTTGTTCCTGTTTTTAGGGGGAATGGTTTTAGTTTTTGCCCATTGATTATGATGTTGGCTGTGGGTTTGTCATATATGGCTTTTATTATGTTGAGGTAAGATCCCTCAATTCCTATCTTGCTGAGAGTTTTTATCAAGAAAGGGTGTTGGATTTTGTCAAATGCTTTTTCCGCATCAATTGATATGACTATGTGGTTTTTCTCTCTCAATTTGTTTATGTGATGTATCACATTTATTGATTTGCGGATATTGTACCATCCTTGCATCCCTGGGATAAATCCTACTTGGTCATGGTGTATGATCTTTTTGATGTACTGCTGGATCCGATTTGCTAGGATTTTGTTGAGGATTTTGGCATCTATGTTCATGAGGGATATTGGCCTATAATTCTCTTTCATTGTATTGTCTTTATCTGGTTTTGGGATTAGGGTGATGTTGGCTTCATAGAATGAGCTGGGAAGTGCTCCTTCCTCTTGGATATTTTGACATAGTCTGAGGAGGATAGGTTTTAGGTCTTCCTTGAATGTTTGGTAAAACTCCCCTGTGAAGCCATCTGGCCCTGGGCTTTTGTTTGCTGGAAGCTTTTTGATTACTGCTTCGATTTCCTCCATAGTTATTGGCCTATTGAGATTTTTAGATTCTTCCTGGTTAAGTTTTGGAAGGTTGTATTTATCTAGGAATATGTCCATTTCCTCCAGGTTGTCTAGTGTGTTGGAGTAGAGTTGTTCATAGTATTTTTCTAACAATCCTTTGTATTTCTATGGGTTCTGTTGTTATTTCTCCTCTTTCATTTCTGATTTTGTTTATTTGGGTCCTCTCTCTTTGTTTCTTGGTGAGCCTGGCTAGAGGTGTATCAATCTTGTTTATCCTTTCAAAGAACCAGCTCTTGGTTTTGTTGATCTTTTGTATTGTTTTTTTGGTCTCTATGTCGTTTATCTCCGCTCTGATCTTTGTTATTTCCTTCCTTCTGCTTACAGTGGGCTTTTTTTGTTGCTCTCTTTCTAATTCTTCGAGTTGTAGAGTTAGGTCATTTATTCTCATTGTTTCTTGTTTCTTGCAGTAGGCTTGTAGAGCTATGAACTTCCCTCTCAAGACTGCTTTTGCTGTGTCCCATAGGTTTTGGATTGTTGTGTTTTCATTGTCATTTGTTGCCATGATGTTTTTTATTTCTTCTTTGATCTCACTGGTGACCCAGTCGTTGTTTAATAAGACTTTTTTTCTAACCTAGATGTATCATTATGGATATCTGTTATTGTTATACTAGAGGCCCAGTGCACGAATTCATGCACAGTTGGGGTCCAGCCAGCCTACCCCAACCAGCGGATCAGGGACAGGCCTGTTGGGAGGAGGAGATAGCAGGAGGGTGACCAGCCAGCCCACCCCAATTGGGG